ACTGTGTTTGTTTGACTATTTTTCTAGGTAGAGGCAACTCTAATGGTTTCCATTTGGCCTTTCCCACCATAATAGCCCTCACCCCACCAGTCAGGGATCCAATGTGGCGGCTCTGTGAGCTGCTAAGTATGTCTATACCAATTATGCATTCTGGCACTGGGGAAATGACCACAGGATGAGTCCGGGGACCCACTGGACCCACTGTAAGTCACACCTGAGCTAAAACTCCATTAGATTACCTGATCTTCATAAGCCCCTACTTTAACCACAATGACGTTTTGGGTCCCCCGGAATCAACGTCAGCTCAGAGCCAGTGTCCAGTAGTCCTCGAAATGTCTGATCATTTCCCTTTCCCCAGTGCACAGTTACCCTGGTCAAAGGCCAGAAGTCTCCTTGGGGAAGGATGGGAGAAAGATTCACAGCATAAATTGTCAGTATTGTAGTGCAGTCCTTCCTCAGGGGGCTTCATTCAAGGGGTTCTGGGTCTATAAAGTGGCTCAAGTCTGGAAATTGAGGGGCTGTGATTCTCTTTTTTTCTGTAATTCAAATTAGTCTTTTGTCCACTTGACCTGGAAGTTTTCCATTTATATGAATTAAGTAGGAATTCAGTAGGCTTCCTATCAATTCTACTTCTGGGAACACTGATTAATTAGCCAGTGCAAAAGCTCTACACAAGTCAGATTATTCTGATTGCTGCTTTGCCTCTGTGGTCCATTATGGTAGCTCGCCCACCCTGCATTTGATGGTTGAGTGCTCCCACTTGCCCCCTGCCACCTCTGGATCCAATTATTCCCATTGTATTTAAATTTTGTAGTTGAGTGACTGTGGTTCCCACTGTTAGATCTGGCATATAGAGAAGAGCAATCATAGAGCTCTTCAAAGATTCACGTGCTGCCCTCACAAATCTCTTTCACAAAGCATTGGTCAAGGGTATATCTTCTGGACCTTCTCAGCTGGGATGAGTAGGTCTAACGTGACTAATTCACTCCACCATCCCAATCTCCCTAAGCCTTTGGATCCCTTCCTCTACATTAAACCAAGGGAGATCAGGCATTTCTAGTTCGCTCAGAGTGAGCCATCTTTTAATCCATATTTCAGCTAACCAAGCAATCAAGCTATTAGAACCTTTTTAAACTCCCTGAGCAGCAACATTAAATGCAGAGTCCCTGCTTAGTGGGCCCAAATCAATAAATTTAGCCTGATGCAAATCTGTGTTCCTTCCACCATCATCCCACACCCTTAACATCCATTCCCACACCTGTTCTCCAGATTCCTGCCTATATAAATTAGAAAACTCAGTGTTTTTCAAGTGTATCACACCTCCTTGTGGGTTACACTCCGAACTTCACCTCTAGGGGGCCGCTGGGACTTTAGTCCTTATAGGTCTAGAAGCAAACAGGGCTGATTCGCCTCTCCTGAGGTAATGTTACCACTACTGGGGATGGTGAAGCTGTTTCTTCTGGCAAAAAGGCTCATCAGAGTTTATAAGCTCTGTGTCCCCAGCGTCATCAGGGTCCTCCTACATGTCCCCATTCCAAGTTGCAGGTTCCCATTCTTTTCCAATCAGGGCTCTCACTTTAACAGTAAACACCTGGCGAGGCTGTGCATGTGCCTTTCATTGCAGGTCAGCCACTCACAAGATAAGAGGTTGTGTCTGATTTTCCACAATTTCAGCTCTTTGTCTACAGGAGACAAGACTCTCACTCAGGGCTTTTGAAGTATCTGCTTTTGAAACCTGGAGTTAGAATCCCTGAGTTCATCATTGTTTTTCATCACTTTGTCCAGTGAACTTAGGAGCAGCCAACCAACTTCATTGTGTTCCTTGGTTCTCCACATATGGTCAAAGGTATTATGTGTAGAGTCACCAAACTTTTTCCCTCTCAGAAGCGGTGAATCAGGAGTGTCAAATGCATTTATTTTGCATAACTCTAAACAGTTCATGCCAAGGACTATCAGTGTTCGCCGTACTACTAGAAGTAGAGTCCTTAGCATTTTGGGGTCTGATCATATTAAGGAGCCATCTCCCTCCAGAAACCCACCAACAAAAGAACTCCATCCTTAATATTCTGTTCCTCTAGAACCACTCCTGGTACCAAAGTCTGTTAGGGTTCTCTAGAGGGACAGAACTAATAGGATAGGTGTATATATAAAGGGGAGTTTTTAAGGAATGTTAACTCGCACAATCACAAGGTCCCACAATAGGCTGTCTGCAAGCTGAGGAGCAAGGAAGCCAGTCTGAGTCCCGAAGCTGAAGAACCTGGAGTCCTATGTTTGAGGGCAGGAAGCATCTAGCACAGGAGAAAGATGTAGGCTGGGAGGCTAAGCTAGTTTAATCTCTTCATGTTCTTCTGCCTGCTTTTTATTCTGGCCATGCTGGCAGCTGATTAGATGGTGCCCACCTGGACTGAGGGTGGGTTTGCCTCTTCCAGTCCACTGACTCAAATGTTAATTTCTTTTGGTAACACCACCTTTATAGCCACACCCAGGATCAATACTTTGCATCCTTCAATCCAATCAAGTTGACAGTATTAGCCATCACAATTAGTGATGTTGAGCATTTTTCCATGTTTGTTGGCCATTTGTATATCTTCTTTTGAGAATTGTCTATTCATGTCCTTATCCCACTTTTTGATAGGAAACTATATATATGCATATGTGTGTGTGTGTATTGAGACAGATTCTCACTCTGTCACGCAGGCCGGAGTGCAGTGGTATGATCTCAGCTCACTGCAACCTCCATCTCCTGAGTGTAAGCGATTCTCATGCCATAGCCTCCTGAGTAGCTTGAATTACAGGCATGTGCCACCATGCCAGGCTAATTTTTGTATTTTCAGTAGAGATAGGGTTTTTGCCAATGTTGGCCACTCTGGTCTTGAACTCTGGACCTCAAGTGATCCGCTCCCCTCAGCCTCCCAAAGTGCTGGGATTACAGGCGTAAACCACTGTGCCTGGCTGGAAACTATATTTTTAAATGGCATTTTTATTGTAGAAAATTGAGAAAATGAAAAAAAGCACATATGGGAAGTTAAACCTCAAATTTTTAAAAAACAAGATTTGTATGCATCTAGACGTTTATGGAAATATGTATTTGTGGGGATTTTCTTTCACTTTTTTTTTTTGTGAGACAGAGTCTCGTTCTGTCGCCCAAGCTGGAATGTAGTGGCACAATCTCAGCTTAACTGCAACCTCTGCCTCCCGGGTTCAAGCAGTTCTCTGCCTCAGCCTCCCCAGTACCTGGGATTACAGGTGCCCGCCATCACACCCAGCTAATTTTTGTATTTTTAGTAGAGATGGGGTTTCACTATCTTGGCCAGGCTGGTCGTGAACTCCTGACCTCATAATCCACCTGCCTTGGCTTCCAAAGTGCTGGGATTACAGGTGTGAGCCACCACGCCTGTCCTTCTTTTCATTTTTAAAAAGTTAAGATTATATTGTACATACCTCATGGAACCTGTTTCATCCAATAAGACATATAGCAGTGCCAGTGACAACTTCCATTTTAATTTTTTTTTTTTAACCTGGGTTGATTATCCTCTCTTCCTGAGGTTCTCTGGTCTCCTGACTTCATAACACTACTGCACTTTGGTTTCTTGGTTTTTTTTCTTTTTTTTTTTGAGACGGAGTCTCGCTCTGTCTCCTCTGGCTGGAGTGCAGTGGCACGATCTCTCTGGCTCACTGCTACCTCTGCGTCCTGGGTTCAAGTTAATCTTCTGCCTCAGCCTCCCGAATAGCTGGGACTATAGGCGAGTGCCGCCACACCCGGCTAATTTTTATATTTTTAGTAGAGATGGAGTTTCACCATATTGGCCACGCTGGTTTGTTGGTTTTTCTATCTCTGAAGTATTATTTTTATGTTTTGACTCTTCTCATACTTGCTTTTTCCCCCTTATTGTGGACACACTGGAAAAAGTCCTTGATTTTCTGAACTTTGGTTCATGTTTTCTTTTTTGAAAATACATCCAATCTCATGACTTCAACTGTTTTATCTATGGGAATGACCAGTAACTCTAGACTTATATCTCTCTCCCACTCTGGTCATTTTTATGAGCTTTATATTACCTTCTGTGTGCACTGTATTCTGTGTATCATCTGGTATAATAAAATAGATATTATTTTATAGATGATTTTTATTTTAGAACAATTTGCTTTCTTACTATAGAAAAATTAAAATCCCTGATTTCTCTTTTGGAAAAATTTCCTTGATATGCTTTTAGGGGTCCTACACAATGCAGTCAAATCTATTTGTGAACACTTGAGTGCATCAGTTTTATAATTTTAATAATGGTAATAAAATTCTCTTTAAGTATTAGAATGTCAGGATTAGAAATACTTGACATTAAATATAAGTTAATCGATAAACATTGGAAGAATTTTAGAAACTGGAGAGTTCATGTTATCAAATAGCATCTCCATACTTTAATGATACGCAAGGAGCAGGACTGTTCAGAAATGACCCTGGCGTTGACTGAGACTGGGACACTCTCCTCCCAGCAAGCAGCAGCACCTAAACTGAACTTCCCATTAGACTGTTAGTGCTTCCTACGTCTGGCACAGTAAACTGTAATTTCCCATAGGCCCCAAAGATTCCAGATGCTGAACAGCTGGTGTTATGTAAAGAACGGGCATCAAGTCTATACTCTGGTGCCTTTTTCCTGAAAAGGTTCTTCCCATGATTGCCCTATAAGAAGGAAGAACAAGAAGCGGGTAGGGTCTTTTCATTGAATCTCCGACCCACACTGTGTATCCACAGAGCATCCTGGTCCTGCCCTATCTTTCCTTAAGAGCAGTGGGAGTATGGGGTACTCAGGATTATTTTATTTTGCTGATACTGCCTTATGAGTTTCCCTCTTCCCCCAATAAGACTGTTCTTTAACCCATGTTCTATAATGTGAACTTGAGTCTTGGTATAGGATAGGTAGGCACCGAGAAGGGACCCGTCATGCATGACAAATAAGTTAGTTTGTAATCATGTCCTTTTTTCCCCTCTCCTCATGGTGTAGGAATCTGAATTAGAGCCTATGAATGGTGAGATAATGGATGATTCTCTTAAGACCTCACTTATAACAGAAGAGGAAGACTCCACTAGTGAAATTTTAGATGAAGAATTAAAATTGCAGCCTTTTAATTCCAGTGAAGATTCTACAAATCTTGTTCCACTGGTGGTAGAATCTTCAAAACTCTCTGAGGCAGATGCACCAGATAAGGTAAGGGGGCGATGAGCTATTTTTTAATAAAGTATACCAATGTTGGTGACATTAGGGGGGAGGGTGCATGGTATACATATTTGCCTCCACCTTAACATGTACAGTGCTTTAGGAAGATTAACTTTTATAGTAGATTTGATATTATAAGAAAATGTAATCAGTAATATTCTATAAATTCAAATAATTATAAACATCTGATATATGGTAACAAAATGAGTTTTATTACTTTTAATACTTTGTACTTAGGAAATGCTTAGAAAAATGGGTAAAACATTATTTACCAAATATTTGAGTACCTATATTGGTTATATAGTCTATGACTAAAATAGTAATTTATATTTGTGTTAATTAGGCAGACAGATTAGGTTAGTGGGGGAAAAAATCCTAGAGTATTTTAAAAGAAATTTAATTTTGTTACTTTTGAATATTAGTTTATGGCTAAAAAACTGTTGTATGGGATTATTTATTAGTGTCTCACCTAAGTAAAAGAATAAAACGTCCATTGCCCTAACTTACCTAATGAAACCATAGTCAAACTTAAGTGTGGTGGCACAGTGAAGTCCCAAGGTATTTTTGGTTCTGGCTCCAGTAACACCAGGAAACTAAAAAAACTGAGTTGATTCATGATTTTGAAGAATCTTGATATGAAGTTTAATGTGTCTTAATTACAAAATAATTATTTCATTATATCCTCAAAGAACTTAGTGTATTAAATTACCATGTGACACAATTTTGAAGAAATTGAGTTGTATTCAGAATATATACATCTTTAGCAGAATAGAAATTCAAAAAAATACATGATTTTGAGTAATGAATACTGAATTGTTTAAATTGTAGTTCAGTGTCATTGCATATTGGAGTCTGAGAAGAATTTATTTTTAGAACTGTATTACAAGTTTATTTATTGACTAGGTTTTTAATTTTCAGACCCCACGTATACCTGACTCAGAAATGTTGATGGATGAAGGCACATCTGATGTAAAGGGGCACACGGAAGAGAAACTGTCCCTACTTCCAAGAAAGAAAGCACACCTTGGGAGTTCAGATAATGTTGCTACTATGTCACATGAAGAACGATCTGATGGTGGTTTTCCAAACTCTGTGATAGCTGAATTTTCTGAAGAACCAGTCTCTGAGAACTTATCTCCCAATACTACTTCCTCATTGGAAGACCAGGGTGAGGAGGGGGTATCTGAGCCCCAGGAAACATCTACTGCTCTTCCTCAGAGTTCTTTGATAGAGGTTGAACTTGAAGATGTGCCATTTTCACAGAATGCAGGACAGAAGAACCAGTCAGAGGAGCAGTCTGAAGCATCTTCTGAGCAACTGGATCAGTTTACACAATCGGCAGAAAAAGCTGTTGATAGCAGCTCAGAGGAAATAGAAGTGGAAGTGCCTGTGGTAGACAGGCGAAATTTAAGAAGAAAGGCCAAAGGGCATAAAGGACCTGCTAAGAAGAAAGCTAAGCTGACCTGAAGGAAGAAGAAAAGTGGATGATAAACCCTCTTCTTTGTAACATAATTGTTTTTAAAATATGGTAATTAATAAACAGCATGGGGCACAGGACAAAAATTTCCAAAATTTCAATTTGAACTTATTTACTATGCAGTTTTTCGCTTCCCTTTAGAACGTAGAATTCACCATTCTTTTTAATTATTCAGGCTATTTTTGGTAAATGCAATTTTTTATTTTTATTAACCATGTTTCAATTTTGGAAACCAGATCATATTATATTTTCTTTATCAGGTGGTACATCTGACCATTATTTCAAAAATATAATTAAAAAACTGAAAGTAGTAGGATTTCCATTACTTACAAGGATCACAGAAATCTTTTATACTAAGGGTTTTAATAGTAAAACTTGGTGAGGGTTCTAGAAGTTTTAAATTTCAAAACTAATCACCAATTTTTTAAAATGTAGGCATGCCTAAACAAAAGTGTCAATAAATTAGAATAAATATAACTTCAAGTAAACGAGAGCACAAAAACAGAAACAAACTTACGATCAAATGTTCATGAAGATATTTTGGTTTTGGCCTCTTAATCCTAGATATAATGCGTTTTTTTCCTTTGACTTCACTATGGAAAGGTACACATAAAATCTGTTTCTGATTCATTCTATCATCTGATGTTAACAGTACTGTCAGGGATTTAACTGTGGCATGTGGGGACTAATTATTTAAAATTTCATTTGAAGTATTAGTTTGCTATAATTTTTTGTCTGCATATGTGCAGATGCCTAGAAGTTTAGACTTCACTTTCACCTTTAATCAGGTAAAAATCACAACTATAATTTAGAGACATAGTTTAATTTGGACTTCTGGTCCTGATCAGACAGATAAATTAAGCTGGAGATTTTACTTTTATCTCAACCCAGTTAACATCTATATTTCAGAAGTGTGAGGCTCCTTCCTAAGGCATCTCCTTAAATCTTGCCACCTCCCTAATTCTACTACAGTCTTATTTCTATTCCCCCACAGCTTTCATCACTTCTCTAGCTCATGGAGTGATTCTCCAATCAACAGATCTTCCTGCCTGCTGGCTTATGCCCTTGATGTCCATTTTTGGGTAGGTTTGGAGGTGCACTCCACAATGTTAGACCTATATGGCATGGGTAAAACTGCCTTGGGGAGCTATGGTTACAAGGGCTTCAATCAAATTGGAAGAGGCTTCAGTCATCCTTTGATTTGTACTGTGAGTACTGGTTGCAAGCTGGCCTGTTAAGTGTATATTGTGTTGCCATAGCAAAGGCCTAGGAAAATTTGAAGAAAAAAACCCTGAACTGTTAATTTTTGTAATTTATTTAAAAATGAACAAAATGGTTATTAGAATCCAAAGAAAATCTAAAAACAATTCTACTCTTTGGAAATATTATGTGTACTCCAGTTTGCACTTAAGTTGGAGAATGTTTTGAGACCATTTAGATTGTTTTAAAAATAGCTTGATCTTGATCCTTACGCAAAAGAAACATTACGATTTGTATCATTATTTGAGATAGCTAAGGATTGATGTTGAAAGTTTATTCAGTCTATAGTAAGCTGATGTCATGTCAATAAATTTTGTTTGGGGATGTTGGTATTTTCGATCTAATTAGTTAAAATCTTTTAGCAGACAAAATAGTAAACCCTCTTATTTGTGTTAGATTTTGAACACCTGTATTATCCTATATTTTCTTTAATTATTAGTCAGAGGTAAGCCAGATTATTTCATACTAAATGAAAATTAAAGTGCTTTGGCCATTTATTTTCTCAACAAATCTAATACTAAGTTAAAAAAAAAAGTATGACTACTATTAGTTAATCTACCATTTATGCTGTTTTATACATTTTATGAGACACTTCTGTCAACATCACAAAGGGAAATACTCTGTTAAGATTCAGTAAATGCTTAACCTTTACATTTTTCATTTCTTAGATTTGAAACCAACACTTTTAGATATTTTATTTTTACTTGGGGTTGTTTAAACTTTCTTTTTAAATTATTTTAAACATGGAACGCTTCATGAATTTGTGTGTCATCCTTGCACAGGGGCCATGCTAATTTTCCCTGTATTCCAATTTTAGTATATGTGCTGCTGAAGTGAGCACTAAAAGACTTTCTTTAGGCAAGTGTAGTTTTTTAAAGATTGAGCTCACTGGCTCAACTCTTGATGTGTGAATATAGTTGAGTTTACAAAAAATGTTTAATCATATATGACCACTGGGGGCTAACAGTATAAACTTATTCTTGTTAAACTTGTTTGGGTTAAATAGTAAGTGAATTCTAAGCAATTTCTAAGGTTTTTGTTTAGCACACAAGAACACTTCTGTTACAGATGATCTCTGACAGAAAATGTTATTTTGGGATTTATAGATTATAAAAGGAAAAATTAGATCACTTGGAAAAACCTAACTCATGTTCAGTAACTTGAGTATAGAATTTATACCACAGTTTATCTTCAATAAGGAACCTACATGAACTTAATCAGTTATCTGTAGTTTTTGCAAGGCATTAGAAAAAATTTCACAATTACAGGGGACTGAAAATGTGATTTCAACCAGCTAGTCTAGTTGTTGAATGTCCAGTCACATTACACATAGTCCTTTGTGAACTTGTTTGTGAAGGAAGTTCACTTTTTGTGTACATACGTGTATATTTCCTTGTGTAATATAAAGCAGATGGTTATTAGCAGTATTTTAGTTCTTTCAAGTTATAAATTATTCAATTGCTAGACATCACAGAAATTAGTATATTTAAGAATTTATTATAAAGCTCCTCTACAACTTTTAAAGGTGAGAGGGTCTATTATGATTTTTTATAAAATCAAACAGCATGATTTAGAACGTCGGTCTTCTACTTAAAATGTGTCTATATTCATGGTATTTCCATTCAGTGTAGATGGTAAGGAAAACATCTAGTCATTAAAGATTTACTTTTAGCAGACTCCAGAACACTACTTACAATGGGGTTTCAGTGACTAGAAATCTTGAAGGTTTATGATTGCATCAAATTGAGCCTGTACTAATATCTAAATATCTGCTCTTATGTTCTGCTTTATCCCTTGGGATTACCTTCTAAGGTTTGGTCACACCAGCAAACTGAAACAGATCTTAATGTAAATAAAGAATTTATACTAGTATTACTCATCTGTGTTACAGTATTTTGGAAAACGTTTCAGGTGTCATCTAGTCTTTCATGGGTGTGTTTAGTTACAAGTATTATGCTTATGTTTTCATACTTAATATCAAGCTTTCTTTGTACCTTACAAGATAGTAATTTTGGTTCTAAAAAAACAAGCAAACTTCATTTTTGTAGTATCCAGAAATTACCTGGAGTCAATATTTTTATTCGCCTTGTAGAACTTGTGATCCACACATCACCCATTTATATTAGTGGCAAAATTATCTGCTAAAATCTAACTGTAAGAAAGGCTTACCTTCTGTCATCAAGTGATTGTATCATCCTGGATTGCCATTTCCAAGGAACTAGCCTTTCTTTTCCTAAGTGTCTGTGTTCTAAAACTTCTAGTATATTTATAGAACTTAGAAAAAATGTTACATTATTCAGAGTAGCAAGTCTTACTGGAATACTTATATTTGTTTTCTTTTTTTTTTTTTTAGTTTAAAAGTAGTAATTAAACCTATATTTTGTGATTGTTTCCTGGTCTGTGTTTTGAAATTCTTTTCCTTCTGTTTTCCTCATGAAGATGTTTCAGATACTGAACTTGTTTAGACATTGAATGACTTTGTTAAAGGCACAATTAATCACATTGGTTGTACTCTGAAGACAGACTTCTTAAAAAAAAAATAAACAATTTAAAACAATGTGGTGATTATAGATTAATGTAATATACTGCCACCCTTAAAGCCACAACATATAACAGATCACAAAAGTGCTTTCACCAAGTTACAACCCTAAAACCTTACCTTCTTACATCATCTAAGTAACTGCAAATAAATTTCTCCTCAGGGAATCAGTGCAGTCTTCTTTTTCCTTTTAAAACTTAGCTGGAGTTACTTAAACTAATTCTTAATACCATTCTGAAAGTATAAATATACTGTTTAGAATACAGAAAATGCTAAGAAGGTACAAATACTTTAGTGTATTTTTTTCATTTTCATGATTCAAGTAGAAAATAGTGCCAAGTACGTATTATTACATATGGTAAATGAAATGAAAATGTTTAGAATGTAATTCACTAGACCTTTTGCTGTACTGGATTTCACAGGTGAAAAGATTTCTCTAAGAGTTTTGAACTTTTAGTGTCTTCTCACATACTTTTAGTGTAAACACTGTAAACTTAGCATCTGTATTAATGCTACCTTTTTTAGGATTAATGATTGAGGTAGAAGATACTTCAGTTAAATTCTCAGACACATAATTGTGTATTAACCTTTCTGAAAGGCATTTTCAACGAACACTGTGGTGTTTTCAGGAAATTACCGAATACCCATGCACAAATGCAGATATTGATGAGGTAGGGTATTTGTATATTTGCTTTTTTCCAATCATTCAGTTTTATGAACATGGGGTCTAGGCAGATTTCAAAATAAAGACCATTTATAAAACAGGACCATTTTAATGTTTACAATTTAATCTCTTCATTGCAGACAGGTATGGCTGTTTGGTAGTATTCAGAAATATCACAGTAATGGCAGTTTTCTCAATTGGTGTGTAGTCCTCGATAATTATATATGAAATTGCTGTCAAACCAGTAAGACTGCATTTATACATCCATCATTTTCAGGATTGTTGGTAACCTGGGCATATTTTCCTAAAGAAAACAAAACCAAAAAAGGGAAAAGGGAGGGTTGTTACCTAATAAAAATTAATTTTAAAGAATATAACTTTTGCCCTTTTTTTTTTTTTCCCCATCTTAATACAGGGTTTCACTCTTATTCCCCAGGTTGCAGTGCGGTGGTGTGATCTCGGCTCACTGCAACCTTTGCCTCCTGGGCTCAAGTGATTCTCCTGACTCAGCCTTCTGAGTAGCTGGGACCACAGGCACATGCTACTGCCTGGCTAACGTTTTTGTTTTTGTATTTTGTAGAGATGGAGTTTTGCCATGTTGCCCAGGCTGGTCGTGAACTCCTGAGCTCAAATGATCTGCCTGCCTTGGCCTCCCAAAGTGCTGTGATTATAGGCATGAGCCACTGTGCCCAACCATGCCTAAAATATTACTGATTACCACTTTTAATAAGTAAGAAATGAACCGTAAAGGATAAATGAGATTTTACAAAATTCAATCATTTAAGAACAAACTTGAGTTCTGAATACAATTTTCATATAAATAGTGTTTTTGCAAATAATGGTCAGCTCCATGTTATTAGTACATTGCATTAACAGGCTTTTGTGGATTGACCTGAGCATTGTCACTTTTTCACATAATTATTCCTGCAAATTGTATTAAGTTTTAAATGAGTTTCAAGTCAAGGTAACAACGTATCTTAAAACTGAGGTCAGCTGACATGAAGTATAAGCCAATCACTGAAGAAGTTGTAGTGTGTATTCTTCCCTTTCAAAGTTGTTGGATCTGGTAGTTGGATCTGGTACTAAAGGTAGAAAACTAAGCAAATGAGGGCGTTTAAAATTAGTGCATGACACGTTTCTGTTTTATTACTGATCTATTGTGATTACACGTTTGTTGTATGCCTCCCTTCCTCTGCTCATGGTTAATTTATTCTATTTTTTTACAATTTTTTTTTTTAGTTATAACTTCGAAGGCATCTGCTTCCCTTGTAATAAACAACTTTTATTAAAAAGGATCAAAATATCTTAATTTTACTTATTTTTGAGATGGAGGCTTGCTCTGTCTCCCAGGCCGGAGTGCAGTGGCATGGTCTCAGCTCACTGCAAGCTCCAGGTTCAAGTGATTCTCCCGCCTCAGCCTCCTGAGTAGCCGGGATTACAGACACTCACAACCATGCCTGGCTAATTCTTTTGTATTTTTAGTAGAGACGGGGTTTTGTCATGTTGACCAGGCTGGTCTCCAACTCCAGTCTCAAGTGAACTGCCTGCCTTGGACTCCCCAAGTGCTGGGATTACAGGTGTCAGCCACTGTGCCCGGATAGCAAGGGGGCTTTTTAAAGCCTGGAAGCTTCTACATGATTTCTGGGAGGTCAGGAGAATCCCATTAACAGAATGAACTAAACTGTTTTAAATCAGTTTCAATTATTATTATTATTACTTTTTGAGACAGAGTCTTGCTCTGTCATCCAGGCTGGGGTGCAATGGCACGACTGCAGCTCAGATGCAACCTCGGCCTCCCAGGTTCAAGCAATTCTCCTGCCTCAGCCACCCAAGCAGCTGGGATTACAGGCGTGGGCCACCACACCTGGCTAATTTTTGTATTTTTAGTAGAGATGGGGTTTCACCATGTTGGCCAGGCTGGTCTTGAACTCCTAGCCGCAGATGATCTGTCTGCCTCAGCCTCCCAAAGTGCTGGGATTACAGGCTGAACCACCACTCCTAGCAGTTTCAATTAGTTATCAGTTTACCTGCGTGGGACAGATAGTTCTATTTCTTTAAATTTAATAGGTATTTTCTCTTAATGTTAGCATGTAAATATAAGAAGTATTTACATAATATTTGTAAACTTATAGCAAAAGAAATTTTTTCTTACAGAAAACATCTTAAGTCATTGGCTAATACTTCATGTCAGCTGACCTTGCTTTTAAAATATGTTTGATATATGCCTCCCTTCCTCTGCTCATGGTTAATTCATTCTATTTTCTTAAAATATTTCTTAGTTATAACTTTGCATCTGCTTCCCTTATAATAATTTTTATTAAAAAGGTTAAAAAATTTTTTTTTTTTGAGATGGAGTCTTGCTCTATTTCCCAGTCTGGAGTGCAGTGGCACAATCTCAGCTCATTGCAAACTCCGCCTCCTGAGTTCAAGTGATTCTCCTGCCTCAGCCTCCCAATGGCGGAGATTACAGGTGCTCGCCATCACACCTGGCCAATTTTTTTGTATTTTTAGTAGAGACGGGTTTTGCCACGTTGTCCAGGCTGGTTTCAAACTCCTGACCTTAGGTGATCCACCCCCTTCAGCCTCCCAAAGTGCTGGGATTACAGGCGTGAGCTGTTGCGCCTGGCCAAAAAGGATCAAAATAAATCTAACAGAATGTATTACACCTTATGTAACTAAAACCAGAAAGCTAAATTTTAAAACAATTGTATTTACTACTTTTTCTATAAAGTATTTTTTACTAAAGATTTACATCTGATTTACATTGTTTTAACTTAGCTCTACTGCATTAAGAAATTTTGCTGTGTATTTTAATACATCAACTTGAAGAGTATTTCTATTAGTACTGCAGAGCAGCAACAGCCCTATATTAAAAAATGCACTTACCCCAAATAACTTTGCCTCCTTGCGTCACAAGGCCCAATTCGCTCACATTTACCTCAATGACAGTACCTTTGGTAATAACACCCAAAGTTGTATACAGTGGGGATGAGGGATTCTTCTTTACGCCAAGTATCGGTAGGCAAAAGGTGGCTTTCAGTTCAGGATGTGTTACATGGGCTTTCTTGAAACGCAACCCCTAGTAAGTCAAACACAACATAAGAATGTTCACGTCCAAAATGTTAACAGTGATGAGTAGTGCTGTTTTTGCTTATCTTTTTCAACCATCTCCAAAAAACTATGGTTGCATAATGTCATCTTATAGCAGCTAACAAAATATGTTCTACAGAGTAAAAACCTGATGGTTACAGTATAAATACGTGGGGCAAACACCCACACATATACTTAAGAATTTTTTTTTTTTTTTTTTTTTGAGACAGGGTCTTGCCCAGTTGCCCAGGCCAGAGTGCAGTGGCATGACTTGGCTCGCTGCATCCTGGGCTTCTTGGGCTCAAGACATCCTCCCACCTCAGGCTCCTGAGTAGCTGGGACTAGAGGCACGCACCACTATGCCTAGCTAATTTTTGTGGTTTTTTTTTGTAGAGATGGGGTTTCGCCATGTTGCCTGCTGGTCTTGAACTCCTGGGCTCTCAACCTATCCACCCACCTCAGCCTCCCGAAGTGCTGGGATTCCAGGCCACCATAGCTAGCCTCCAAAAAGTTTTTTTTTTTTGCCCTGAAACAGCTACCTAGCAACATCCTCAGATTTTTACTGTCTAGTCATCGACAGTTAGACTTAATAAGGACTTGATATATACCAGGCCACTATGCTAGCTCACAACTGGCTCACTTAAACACAATAACCTCACAACAAACACATCCCTCTCTCTCCTGTTTCTGAATGATGTAACAAGGATCAGCAGGTTAAATGACTTGTTTCCAGATTAAATGGTGAGTGGTAAACAGAATCAAACCTAAATATCGTGATTCCAAGTCTTTATATACCTCAGCTACCTTCCATGATGAAAAAAGGAGTGGATTGTTAGCTTTCTTTAGGTTGATAGTAATATGAGACTGGAGAAGGCCCAGAGAGGTCTTTGTTACAGAAACTGGTTATGGAATCACCCAGTCACCTAATAGGGTCTTTTAGGGTGTAGTACTTCAAACATCACAACATTTTGCAGTCTTGATTTCTGCGTGTATGGGGATGGGGAGAAAACAACACTAAATCAGTTTCTTAGTATTCATTAATTTCTTAGATTCATTAATGAAGCTCTTAATAAACTGACACCATTCAGGATGCCATCTGATTAATTCACAATGACAAATCTGTGAAACTACAGAAAACCTAGAGTAGCCTGACTTGTATATTCTCTCCCTGTAGAACTGGTAAGGCTACCAAAATATATTCAGAATATGAATATGAAACCAAAACAAGTCGATTCCATGATATGATCCAGAGGTGGGCAAACACTTTGTGTAAAGAACCCAAAAGGTAAACATTTTAGGCTTTGCCAGGCCATATGGCCTCTGTTACAACTGTTCAATTCTGGGCGTGGGGGTTATGCAATATGTAAATGAACAGGCATGGCTGTGTTCCATTAAAACTTTATTTACAGAAACAGGCTGTTTGCCAATATTTTAATCTATTAAAAATTACTCAGGTTGGCCGGGTGCGGTGGCTCATGCCTGTAATCCCAGCACTTTGGGAGGCTGAGGCGGGCAGATCACAGAGATAGAGACCATCTTGGCTAACATAGTGAAACCCCATCTCTACTAAAAATACAAAAAAATTAGCCAGGCATGGTGGCGGGCGCCTGTAGTCAGTCCCAGCTACTGCAGAGGCAGGAGAATGGCGAGAACCCGGGAGGCGGAGCTCGCAGTGAGCTGAGATCTCGCCACTGCACTCCAGCCTGGGCGACAGAGGGAGACTCCGTCTCAAAAACAACAACAAAAAAATAGGTTGAACACTAGGATTTGGGCATGTTGCAACTTTCTTCTCTCTGATACTTCGTTTTTTTGAGGCTGTGTATCTAACTGGGAGAATAGTTCAGTCTCTTTGAAGGGATTTTGCAAAAATACATCTTCAATTATGTTTCTCCCCAGGGGTGGGGAAGTTTGGGGTCATATTACTATTGCTGCCTTCAACAGAAATTAAGCTATATTAAATTATCTTCCTTTTTTCAAAGATTTTCTTTTCTTTTTTTTTTTTTTGAGTCTTGCTCTGTCCCCCAGGCTGGAGTGCAGTGGTGTGATCTCTGCTCACTGCAAGCTCTGCCTCCCAGGTTCATGCCATTCTCCTGCCTCAGCCTCCCAGGTAGCTGGGACTACAGGCGCCCACCACCATGCCCGGCTAATTTTTTTGTATTTTTTTTTCATTAGAGAAGGGATTTCAGTGTTAGCCAGGATGGTCTTGATCTCCTGACCTCGTGATCTGCCTGCCTCAGCTTCCCAAAGTGCTGGGATTACAGGCGTGAACCACCGCGCCTGGCTTTTCAATGATTTTCAAGAGCATTTGGATACTTTCCTTACCAAACTGAAACTGACTCTTACAAAACAGTGCTAGTCAAGTTTTCGAACTGTTGTCAAAGACAAGAAGTGTTTTGAGACCTAGACAATATCAGGCATATAGCAGATCACTAGTTGAATGAGAAAAATATGAAGAAAATGAAGATTCTAATATGTCATGTTTAAAAGTCAGAATTTACTGACAATGTCTTATGACACTTTTTTCAAATCTCTTATGAAGCTGAATATATATACACACACACATATATATATATATATATATATATATATATATATATTTTTTTTTTTTTTTTTTTTTTTTTTTTTTTTTTTTTTTTTGAGACGGATTTTTGCTCTTCTTGCCCAGGCTGGAGTGCAATGGTGTGATCTCGGCTCACTGCAACCTCTGCCTCCCAGGTTCAAGTGATTCTCCTGCCTCAGCCTCCCTAGTAGCTGGGATTACAGGCACCCGCCACCACACCCAAATTACTTTTTGTATTTTTTAGTAGAGATACGGTTTCACTATGTTGGCCAGGCGGGTCTTGAACTCCTAACTTCAGGTGATTCACCCACCTCAGCCTCCCAAAGTGCTGGGATTCCAGGTGTGAGCCACCGTACCCGGCTAAAGATTCTTAACTAGTGGAAAAAGTACTAAATAACTTCTATCACTAACTTAAAATAACAAAAATAGCATAAAAATATCCTCCAATCTGTTCCACATCAATTTAAAGAATTTCAGGAAATTATAACGTTCTTTATCCGATCTAACAAAGTGAACTAATATTTCAGTCATTACACTCTTCCAAGGACTTACCATTGGCCTGATAAATCTTTCATATTTAGGTGGTTTTCTTGTAAAGCCATCTCCAACAAAGCACACTTTAGTAACCATCCTCTTCCATGCTTTCTTCTTTCTCTTTCCTGTTCGAATAACTTTTAATACTTCTGTTTCTCCCTGGGCACGTACTTTAGGCAGAGGGACTTCCCATTTTCCCTAAAAATATGCCACAGTTAAAAGTTTACATTGTTATTAAAGGGCAATGAGAATAAGTCAAGTATGTTTTAGTTGTACAAAGCAGTAGATCTATTTTTTTTTTTGCTTAACCATCATTGGCTCAACTGTTATTCTAGAGTTCTGTATTGTCTCCTCATAAGCTGCAAATTAAACAGAACAAGTTTATATATCATGGGTACATTAAATAAATGGTTGACTTAAGCTAAAAATCTTATTACTGTGTTATGGGTGAGAAAATACCACCTGTAATGTGGTGGTAATTTTTTTTTTTTTTTAGTTTAGTTTTTTTTTATTTTTTGAGACAGAGTCTCGCTCTGTTGCTCAGGCTGGAGTGCAGTGGTGCAATCTTGGCTCACTGCAACCTCTGCCTCCTGGGTACGAGCAATTCTCCTGTCTTACCCTCCTGAGTAGCTGGGACTACAGATACACACCACCACACCCAGCTAATTTTTGTATTTTTAGTAGAGGTGGGGTTTCACCATATGGTCAGGCTGGTCTTGAACTCCTGACCTCAGGTGATCCACCTGCCTCGGCTTCCCAAAGTGCTGGGATTACAGGCGTGAGCCACTGTGCCCAGTCGATAGTGACTTCTATAAGCAGTGTATGTGTTTACTAATGTTTAATAGCATAACATTGGACAAGTGTTTCCACCTCTTAATATGTCTCTGTATTTCTTCCTGAAATGGATTTGTAGATTACATTAATAGTAAGACAAAGTCCTCACCAGATGTTTTATGCCTCCCTTGAGTGCAAATTCTATGAAAAAAACTGAAGTAGTGTAAGGCAGTAGAAATAATTCTTTAAATATAGATACAGCATATTCTTTTATCTGGATTTCTGCTAATCTATTCACAGGTGTTTTAAAAAGCCACATTTTTTGTGATAACTCAGGGAGTTTTCCACCATTCTGCTTTTGAACCAATTTTGGCACTACAGGACAGCGCAAATAAGAAGCATTTGTATTTTTTTTTATGACTGCATAGCACTGTGGGTTTTCAAACAGGAAGACAAATATTGAATTTGAAATTCACTCCTTATCAGCTTTTTAATTTCATATGGCATTCTAATAATTTTTTTAAAACTTAAATTTTAGAACCTTATGATGGGAAAGCAAGTTTTTTTATTACTAAATTTACAAAGACTTCAACATCTAAATAATGGGAATAGCTGTACTTCATGTTTGAAATTAAACCAAGAAACAAGAACCTCAAATTTGAATTTAAGTAATTCTCCTAAACAAAACAAAGACTTCAATTGTTATCGCTTACCGCCTTCTCTTTTCGTTTCTGTTTAATCATATTGGAAAGTACTTTAGCTCGAGATTGTCCCTCTCTGTCCAGCAGATAAGCAGGTACTGCTCCCTGTGGAGTCTTTTCATCATTCTTTTGTTTGGTGTTTCTCTTTTCATGCATCTTGATACTACCAAGAAGGAAAAAAGATTCAAAATTACCTGTTTTAATAATGATGACTCAAAAGATGTTAACTTGTTATGACAAATAAATGAGACCACTTACGTCTTTTTCATTTGTATTTTTTCAGCATGGCGCTGTTTATGGTAAAGCTTAGCCTTCAGACCAATCATTTTCTTTGCCTTCTTTGAACGTTCATGAGCCTCTCGACTTTCCTTCTTTCTCTTTTTCTCATGGTAATCCAAACGGTATCCATAGCGTTTACGGTGTAATTCAATATATTCGTTCTGTGGCTATAATGATGCAAGAAATGTTATTTTAGTTTTTAAAAGTACTGACAATTATTCTAAAATGCTTGCTTTTACACAGCATAAAGACCCTGTTTCATCCAAATGTTCACTTACTTGAATGATTATTGCACCATTAAGTCTATTCACATGATGTAAGTTAAATTTTGATCTTGAATGGTATGAGGCATCAGGGCTTACATTTCTAATAATCTCAGTAGGGAATGTTCCAAAATCTACTGGACCACAAAAAGGATGAACTGATTACAGTATCTTTTTTCCTTGATATAATTTGCTTTTTAAATAACATCTTCATTTCACATTTAAAAAATTTAAGTTAGTTTTATTGAAGCATAATTTACACACAGTAAAACGTGTTCTTTTTAGGCATACAGTTCTACGTTTTTTTTTTTTCCCCTTTTCTTTTTTGAGACAGAGTCTCGCTCTGTCACCCAGGCTGGAGTACAGTGGTGTGATCTCTGCTCACTGCAAGCCCCGCCTCTCGGGTTCAAGCCATTCTCCAGCCTCAGCCTCCGGAGCAGCTGGGACTACAGGCGCGCCCGCCACCGCGCCAGGCTAATTTTTTTGTATTTTTAGTGGAGATGGGGTTTCACAGTGGTCTCGATCTCCTGACCTCGTAATCCGCCCGCCTCAGCCTCCCAAAGTGCTGGGATTACAGGCGTGAGCCACCGCGCAGTTCTATGTTTTTACTAATTACACAGTTCTGTAACCACCACAATCAAAATAGAGAATTTCCATTTCCCCCTAAAATTCCCTATGTCACTTTGAAGTCAATCCTCTTTTCCAACCCTCAATTTGATACCTATCCCTAGTTTTGCCTTTCCCAGAAAGAAACAGGGATCAACAGTAGTACATAGCCTTTTGAATCTGGTTTGGGATTCACCCAATTTGTTGCAGGTATAGGTACTTCAATTCTGTTTATTGTTGAGTAGTATGCTATTGTATGGATATACCACTGTTTACCCACTGACCAGCTGATAGGTATCTGGGTTGTTCCCAGTTTTGGGTGATTACGAATAAATCTGCAATAAACTGCATGCAAGTCTTCATGTGGACATGTGTTTACTGCCAGATCGTTTTCCAAAGTGCATTATTTTTCATTTCACCAGCAATGTATGGGATGCTTTTTGCATTTTAGACACGTTTTATTTTAAACACGAGGCCAGGCGTGTCTATTCGTATTTTAAGGCTGCAAAAATAAAAATGATACAAAGCCAAGTCCAGCACAGAGAACAGTGTTAAGTAACAAATAGCAAGGCGTGCTGCTACCAACTGCTATCATATAAACTTTGCAGCAATCACATGAAGGGTATATGGAATGCCACTTCGCAAAGAAACCCAAGATGATAAGAGACGTAACAGAAAGAGCAAGGATCTGGCAGTTAGATCTGGGCCGTTAAGTCCGGCTTCGCAATTCATTAGCTGTCTGGTCTTCGGCAAGGACCCCTTCATTTTGACGCCTTCAGTTTCCTTAACAGTAAAATGAAAGGGGTGGGATTAACATCTAAGATTGTACAAGGCACAACCATATTCCCATTAGGCTTTGGTGCTGATAACCACGCTTGTGGTGAAATCAGTAATTTTTAGGACTCTTAGCGGTGGAGCAAAAAGAAAAAAAAAAAAAGTAAAATCTTGCTCCAAAGCTTGTGTTCTGGCAAATACCCTCTGTGTCTCGAATGTGAAGTTGTTTTCACTCCTCAGAGCGCACCCCACGGAGTCCACCATCCTTTTCCCTTAGCAGTTTTCATTTCCGCCTACCACCGCTCACCCCCTGCCCCAGCGCCCCAGAGCCCTCAGGTCCCACTAACTCAAACGCTGTATGTCGCGGGCGTCCGACGCATCCTCCTTACCATGGTGACGGCCGCAGGGCCGCCAGGAGCAGCCCCTGGGGTGCGAAAACGCTCTCAATCTTCGGGGCTCAAAGACCCACAAGCCCACGCCACGCAGGCCGGGACAGGAAAGGGTCGCCCTTTAAAACGGCCGAGTGAAGAGCAAGAACCACGCAGAGGTTCCGAGCCTCCGTTTTCCGCTTTTAGGCTAAGAGGACGGAAGTTGCTGGCAGGCGGCATTTGGCCGGTACACCGCCGGAAGTGTGGAGGTGTGGCTGCTTGAGGCGGCAGAGCGGAAAAATGCTAACTTCATTTCGTTTAGGTACCAGGCCGTTTGCCTAGGCTGGTGTCGAGACTTGAGGCCTTTGCAGACTTTGGCGCGGCCCGCGCCTCCTGCTTCAACAGCCCAGCGGTGACGGGCTGGCCTGCGGCACGCGGCCTAATACCAGGTGAGTACTGCTCCGAGCTGTGAGACATTGCACGCCTGTGACCCTGTCCCGCGCTGGGTATTGCTGACCTTCCAGGCTGCGACAGACACAGCTGGCCACGGAGGAGGACAACAAGGCCTCCGGACTCCCCTCGGTGTTCGCTCAATATGGAAGTTTTTCTCTATCATTCGGCGAGGGCGACTCATCTTTGTTCCGGTCACACTGTAATGTGTGCACGATTGTGAAGGATGCTGAGGAATGAAAACTTAGTGTACAGAAAAATAGAACTACTGGGCCTTTGCAACTGTTAGAAAAGACGAAGATAACATTCTGGTTTTTTGGAGGTACAGGACTGATTCCAGAAATTTCTGAGGCGTTTTGGTGCACCGCATCAAATGCTGAGTGAGTGGACTTGTATTTAGCGGCCCCCTAGAGGCCAAGAAGTAATTCACTACAAGAAAAAGTACGTCTACTTGAATACACTGCCAATTTTACCCTTTTACTGCACAGTTGCAGAAGTTCCCTTAATTACTTCACAGCTTGTAACGTGATTCAGTTGATGAACAAAAAGAACTGTACCAAAAGAATACTTTCATTAATTCTTAGTGCTTGGATTTGAGGCAGTATTTTGTTTTTGTGGGTTTTTTTGAGACGGTATCTCGCCCAGTCGCCCAGGCTGGAGTGCAGGGGCGCGAGCTCTGCTCACTGCAGCCTCGACCTCCCGGGATCAAGCGATCCTCCGAGTTCAGCCTCAAAAGTAGCGAGTTACAGGCTCGCGCCACCACGCCTGGCTAATTTTTGTATTTTTTGTAGAAACGAGGTTTCACTATGTTGTCCAGGCTGGTCTCGAACTCCTGGGTACAAGCGATCCACCCGCCTCGGCCTCCGAAAGTGTTGGGATTACAGGTGCGAGCCAAAGCGCCCGGCTTTGAGGCAGTTTTTGTTTTGTTTTGTTTTGAGACGGGAGTTCTGCTCTTGTCGCCCAGGCGGGAGTGCAGTGGCGCCATGTCATCTCACTGCAACCTCTGCCTCCCGGGTTCAAGCGATTCTCCTAGTTCAGCCTCCCAAGTAGCTGGGATTATAGACGCCCACCACCACACCTGGCTAATTTTGTTGTATTTTTAGTAGAGATGGGGTTTCACCGTGTTGGCCGGGCTGGTTTCAAACTCCTGACTTCAGGTGATCCACCCGCCTCGGCCTCCCAAAGTGATGGAATTACAGGCATGAGCCACCGAGCCCGGCCTTTGAAGCAGTTTTTAAGGCTCCATTTTCTAAGGTGATATCATCATTCTCTTTAAAACCAGAAATAATAACTAGCATTTGTATATTTTAGGTACAGTACGTTATATAATCTCTTTGCCTGTAATGCGCCCCTCCCCGCCGCCCCCCCAACCCCCCGAATTTCCTCCCTCATCTACTTCAGGTCTTTGCTTAAATGTCACTATTTGAATGAGGCCTTCCTTGATCTCTTTACTTCAGTTCTAACTGTCCCAATTCTTCTTTCCTGCTTAATTCTTCTCCACAGCACCTATCATCATAGGAGAGACTATGTATTGTATTTGTTACTTTTGTTTGTTGTCTCTATCCCCTGACTAGGATAGAGGCAGTATGAGGGCAGAGATTGTTGTCTTTTGTTCACTGCAGTAACGCTAATATCTAGAAAGCAGTGGGTAGACAGACACGTAGTAAATTCTTTTTGAATAAATGGGAAGGAATAGGCTTGGGCAGGGGAGGGCTGGGTTATGCAAATTATCTTTTTATTGACAACCACTGAGTTAAAGTAAGAAGCGGAAAATGTCTATTAAATGTCTATTACAGTCGTAACTGTAGAGAGACTATGAGGCCCTGAACTTTGGCATTACCCATGAAGAGGGAATGGATTCAAGGCCGGGCATGGTGGCTCACGCCTGTAATCCCAGCACTTTGGGAGGCTGAGGCGGGCAGATCACTTGAGGTCAGGAGTTCGTGACCAGTCTGGTCAATATGGCGAAACTCCGTCTCTACTAAAAATACAAAATTTAGTCAGGCGTGGTGGCACATGCCTGTAGTTCCCGCTACTCGGGAGGCTGAGACAGGAGAATCGCTTGAACCCAGGAGGCAGAGGTTGCAGAGAGCTGAGATCGAGCCACTGCCCTCCAGCCTGGGTGACCCTGTCTCAAAAAAAAAAAAAAAGGAAACATTCAAATATGTTTAGGAAATCAAATGAGAGTATTAGATGACTTTCTAAATAAGAGTAGTGAATGTTTCTTAGCTAAAATCCAGAAGAGAACAGACTTAGGAGCAGTAATGAGTTTTGACATATCTTCTTAATAACATGGATCACAATGGTTTAACGCAAGTGTGTCTAATCTTTTGGTTTCCCTGGGCCACACCAGAAGAAGAATTGTCTTGGGCCACACATAAAATACACTAATGGTAACTAACAATAGCTGATGAGCTAAAAAAACATCGCAAGAAAAAAAATCTCACAGTATTTTAAGAAAGTTTACAAATTTGTGTTGGGCTGCATATAAAGCTATTGTGGGCCGCATGTGGCCTGCAGACCATGGGTTGGACAAGCTTGGTTTAACGTGATCTGTTTGTCTCCCCAGCACCCCCAGTCTCAGCTGTGTCCTTAGATTTCTAATAGCTTTGATATTGTACTTGAAACGTAGTGAATATTTAGCAAATGTTTTTAAATTAAAGATGCTTAGTTTCTATAATCAGAGAGGAAGAGGACTTTTATATATTTTTTACATGATTTAGTTTTTACATGGTATGGTAGGAAAATCAGAATATACAAATGAACCAGTAAATTTTACTGCCAATTAGAAATTACCAAGTGTGGATTCTTAGTTTTTATACTTAATTCTATTCATTTACGTAACAATGCATTTTGGTTGATACAGTGTTTTGTAATTTCAATAAGTTGATTTCTAATGTATCTCCATGTCTTTCTTTAAACATTACATTAACAAAAAGGGACATTTTAAGCCTAAGAACCATATTTCTCATATTTAATCAGAATTTTCATTTTCTGAATGATGCATTGTATTTTTGGTAGCTAAAAATATTGTTCCAACTTTTTAAAAGTAATAGATTTTACCTTACATATGTCTAACTTACATATGCCTTGCTGACATGTAATACATAACTTTAGTTTTATAATTTTGTATATTTATTTTTTCAGACAATAACAGTTTGGAGGATCAAAATGTTGAGCAACTTGAGGATATGTGCAGTGAGTCATCAGACAATACCCAGTGTGCATATTAATGTAAGCATTTCTTATAAAATTAAATGTCCTTTAACAACCTCAGCTGCTTTACTGCCTAAAATGCCCAGTATATCTCATCAACTGTTGATTCCAGACTTAGTTGAGTCATAACCTTTGGAAATCTTCAAGCCAAACTAATTTGAAAGTAATTACCTTAATTTATTAAGAAATATGAGAAGGGCCGGGCGCGGTGGCTCAAGCCTGTAATCCCAGCACTTTGGGAGGCCGAGGCGGGCGGATCATGAGGTCAGGAGATCGAGACCATCCTGGCTAACCCAGTGAAACCCCGTCTCTACTAAAAAATACAAAAAAAAAACTAGCTGGGCGAGGTGGTGGGCGCCTGTAGTCCCAGCTGCTCGGGAGGCTGAGGCAGGAGAATGGCGTGAACCCGGGAGGCGGAGCTTGCAGTGAGCTGAGATCCGGCCACTGCACTCCAGCCTGGGTGACAGAGCGAGACTCTGTCTCAAAAAAAAAAAAAAAAAAAAGAAATATGAGAGGAAATTACCTTAATTTAAAAGTAAAAGAACAGCTGTAGCTAAATGCTGGTCTCATGGAGTACTAAAATGCCAATTGTTTTTGAAGGAGGGTACAGTTTTATATCTAAGAATGTCATCACTTAATGTACATCTTTAACAGAAAATGTGCTTTGTAATGTTAAGTATCCATAGATTAAGACTCTTATGAAATAAAGTTTCTCTTAATATCGAAGTATAACATAATTGTACAATGGTTGATAAAACTACTTTTGGCTGTCTTCTGCAGAGCTGTTGGAAGCCAACTTCTTGGGCAGTCTGATCTTTGTCTCAGGAACATTGTTTTAGTCTTTAAGCTCTGGTCTGACTCCTGAATCCTCTCCGAAACACTATAAATTATTTTATGAACTATCGCGTCTTCAGTATACTTCAGAGATATTAAACCTCAAACGTAATAATACCCCTTTTATCTAGTGCTAAGTGAAAGATTACTTTAAAGCTTGCTTGGGTTATTTCTTTTTATCTTCAGTGACTTAACGGAGTACAATAGTTTCCCCTTATTCATGGTTTTGCTATTAGCTGTTTCAATTGCTCAAAGTCAACTGTGGTCTGAAAATTAAATGGAAAATTCCAGAAATAATTCATAAGTTTTAAATTGTGTGCCATTCTGAGTATCGTGATGAAATCTCATGACATCTCACTTAATCCCACCTGGGAGGTGAGTCATCCCTTTGCCCAGCATATCCACACTGTATACACTCCCCACCCATGAGTCAGTAGCCATCTGGGTTATCAGATTGTGATATTGCCGTGCTAGTGTTCAAGTAACCTTTATTTTACTTAATCATGGTCCCAGAGCACAAGAGTAGTGATGCTGGCAATTTGGATATGCCAAAGAGAAGCCATAAAGTGTTCCCTTTCAGTGAAAAGGTGAAAATTCTTGGCTTAATGAGGAAAAAAAAAGGTCATATGCTGAGGTTGCTAAGATCTATGATAGGAATGAATCTTCTATCCGTGAAATTGTGAAGAAAAAGACATTTTTGCTAGTTTTACTGTTGTACTTCAAACTGCAAAAGTTATGGTCAC